GGTTGACCAATTCTTTTGGTGTACATGTGGTTGTTGGTTCCCCTCATTCTCTACATTCTTCCCTTTCCCCCCTCTCGGTGTGTGTACATGTTTCTCGGGGTGATTATTGTCGGTCGCTGGTTGTTTGTTGACGTTCTTGTTGGAGGCACACTGTTTTTTTTCTGTATTGTCACAGCTGAGACGGCTGTTTTTTTACATGGGGGAGGGTGATGTAGTGATGGTAGCATCACTACTGTGTACACACGCACAAGCGTGACGTCACTATGCGGGGGAGCATCATGACCACGCGGGTCTACACACACGCATGACGTCATCCCGGCTGGAGGCGGGAATGACGTCAGGGCCGGTGCTGGACTCGGCAGGCCACGAGGGTGGTGTGAGGCCGTGGAACTCTGTGACCCTGGCTGGACACGTGACTGGACCCCAGTGGGGGCCGGGGGCCTAGGGGGCACCTTGGAGGGCACGTGGACATTAGGGGGGCTTCGAGAGGGTTCTCGAAGGGAGGTGTGGCCGGGGCGGGGCCCAGGCACGCCGAGGCCCATATAAGCAGCCTCCTCACGAGGTTCGAGGCTGCCCGTATCAAGAACGAAGATGCATCGTGAAGACGCCAAGAAGAGTCAAGCCTCCAGTCAGCGGACCTGGCAGTAGCCCACCTGGCTGGGTCACGCTAGAGTATTTGAGAAGTATGTGTTAGCTAGAGTAGGTCGGTGGTCACCACCTTATGTGCAGTGTTATATTACTTACCATTCTAATAAATCAGCGTTGCCTCCCAAGGAGTCGTGTGTGCACCTAATTCGAACCCACTACACCTGTACAGGTGTCTGTGATGGGTGGGTGGTGTCCTTGACGGGGCACACCTGTACAGGTGTCTGTGCTGGGTCACTGCCGGTGGTGTCCTTGACGGGGCTCACCTGTGCAGGTGTCTGTGCTGGGTGGGTGACGTCCTTGATGGGGCTCACCTGTACAGGTGTCTGTGCTGGGTGGGTGGGTGACGTCCTTGATGGGGCTCACCTGTACAGGTGTCTGTGCTGGGTGGGTGGCGTCCTTGACGGGGCTCACCTGTACAGGTGTCTGTGCTCAGTGGGTGGCGGTGACGTCCTTGACGGGACTCACCTGTAGAGGTGTCTGTGCTGAGTGGGTGACGTCCTTGACGGGGCTCACCTGTACAGGTGTCTGCTGGGTGGGTGTCGTCCTTGACGGGGCTCACCTGTACAGGTGTCTGTGCTGGGTGGGTGGGTGGTGTCCTTGACGGGGCTCACCTGTACAGGTGTCTGTGCTGGGTCACTGCCGGTGGTGTCCTTGACGGGGCTCACCTGTGCAGGTCTCTGTGCTGGGTGGGTGACGTCCTTGACGGGGCTCACCTGTACAGGTGTCTGTGCTGGGTGGGTGGTGTCCTTGACGGGGCTCGCCTGTACAGGTGTCTGTGCTGGGTGGGTGTCGGTGATGTCCTTGACGGGGCTCACCTGTACAGGTGTCTGTGCTGAGGTGGGTGGGTGGCCATCTCAATCCTGCCACCTGCGGCTCGCGTGTTTTATATTTTTTTTCCCCGACGCCGAAGGCCGCCGTCCCAGGCACCGCTGCCACCGCCGTTGCTCCATCGGCGCCACCTCATGGTGCCCTTCGTCCCCCGTGGGGGGGGGCGGGGCTCTGAGGCGTCGTCATGTCCCCGCCCCCCCCTCCCCGCCTCTCATCCTCTGCACCTGATGGGATTCACAGTGAAGTCTTCGTCCGGCAGCAGCTGCTGCTCTACTTGAGGCCGCCAGCGGGTGGATGGCTTCGATGTTCCGGCAAATCGCCCGACGATGGTTCCATCGGTAAAGTCACGTAGGTAGGAATGAAATCAAATGAATCATCCTCAGGTGAGGATGGCGACAGCTGCGATGTTTGCTCCCTTGTGACTTCATCGGAGGAACCACAGAGTATGGATTCCTGCAGTCGCGAAAGCTTCAAATCACGATTGATGATGATGCTGGTTGATGTCATTACCGGCGAAACGTCACGGTACTACTCACGTTGTGAATGTTGTGGATTTACTCTCCAACATGCCGGTGGGCTGTAGTCTCCTACACTATACACTACACTACTATATAGTACACTATACACTACACTACTATATAGTACACTATACACTACACTGCTAAATACAACACTATTATACACTACACTACTACACACCATACTATTCACTACACTACCCCACACTACACTATACACTACACTACTATATACTACACTATACACTACACTACTACACACTACACTACTATACACTACACTACTATATACTACACTATACACTACTATATACTACACTACTATACACTACTGCACACTACAACATGCACTACACGACTATACACTACACTACTATATACTACACTAAATACTGTATACTACACTACTATATACTACAATATACACTACACTACCACACACTACACTATACACTACACTACTATACACTACGCTATACACTACACTACTACAAGCTACACTATACACTACATTATATACTAAACTATACACAACACTATACACTACTATACACTACACTACTATACACTACTACACACTACACTATACACTACACTACTATACACTACACTACTACACTATACACTACACTACTACACTATACACTACACTACTATATACTACACACTACACTATACACTAGACTACTACACACTACACTATACACTGCACTACACACTACACTACTATACGCTACACTACTATATACTACACTATACACTACACTACTATACACTATACTACACACTACACTATACACTCCACGACTATACACTACACTACTATATACTACACTATACACTACACTACTACATACTACACTATACACTACACTACTATATACTAAACTATACACAACACTATACACTACACACTATACTATACGCAACACTACTATAAACTATAATACACACTACACTATACACTACACTATACACTACACTATATACTAAACTATACACACTACTAAACACTACACTACTACACTATACTACTATATACTACACTGTACACTACACTACTACACACTACACTATACACTACACTACTATAGACTACACTACTATATACTACACTACTATATACTACACTACACTACTATACACTACACAATACACTACACTATACTACTATATACTACACTATACACTACTATACACTACACTATTATACACTACACTACTATACACTACACTATACACTACACTATACACTACACTATACACTACACTACTATATACTACACTATACACTACACTACTATACACTACACTACTATACACTACACTACTATATACTACACTACACTATATACTACACTATACACCACGCTACTACACACTTTGGCGTTTTGCTTACGTGACAAATCCCTTACTAATTGGCTGTGTCGGGTGGTGGAGGGTTACGATGCAACGCTCAGCGATCCGACCCCAACAAACACTCCGTCACCATGGGCCCTGTACGATTCCTCTCCTTTTCCCCTTCTCCACAAGCGTCACCTCTTCTGTCCGACCGCGGCAGGGCACGGGCAGCGGGATGACCGCTCTACCCGAGCAAAAAATGTAGATACTGAGGCAACGCTGAAGTGCGACTTCTGTGCCCAGTACATGGGTCAACCTGGAAGCATGACTTACTTGACCCGGGATGTTGTACAACATCCAACGGTTGTACCTTTGGTTGCAGCATACTGGCTCGACCTTGAAGAGTGACTTCCTTGAGCCAGTACATGGGTCGAGCCTGAAGTGCGACTGCTTGACCTGGGACGTAGGGAGACGTCCGGAATGTTAAGTGGTGTTTGTAGGTGGGTGTTAGACTTTCGGTCTTCGCCCTATTGCCACCTGTGGGGTGGAACGGTAACAGGGCGGTGTGAGACCCTGCCATCTATGGGGTGGTTGTGTGGTTTTGGTTTGATTTACCGGTGTTGGTTGTGCATCCAACGCGAGAGCGACTTGAACGGGTGCACTCCGGCGGGTCGTCTCTGATGGCCTCGCTGTAATCCACGGTCGCGCTTTTCGTTTGAACCCCCCCCCCCCCCCCCGCCGACGTAACCTCCGCTTGTGTCTTGAAGCTTTCGTGACCGCAGGAATCCACGCGCTTTGGTTCTTTCGGTCAAGTCTTCACGTAGCGGATGGAAATTAAACGAAATAAGTCACCTATGTGTCGACCGCAACGGAAGTGGTCCTCGTGATCCTGACGGGGACCGTTTTTGTTTGTTTGTAAATATCCTTCGAGCCGTTAAGGTAACGCCGCGCGCACAGCGCCGTTCGTCGCGAATTGCCCCCCCCCCCCGCTCCGTTCCCGAGTCGCTATTTTAACAATCACGCAGATAGAAAAATTATGACGCGAAATAAAGTGAATAAAAATGATTTTAAAAAATTACAAAAATATTTTAAAAAGCACCAAAAAAAGCACTAATGTAGACTGTAGCCTGGTTCTTAATCGGAGTGAGTGTACTGACAGTCTATAATGCAGACTGTAGCCTGGTTCTTAATCGGAGTGTACTGGCTGTCTATAATGTAGACTGTAGCCTGGTTCTTAATCAGAGTGTACTGGCAATCTATAATGTAGACTGTAGCCTGGTTCTTAATCGGAGTGTACTGGCAGTCTATAATGCAGACTGTAGCCTGGTTCTTAATCGGAGTGTACTGGCTGTCTATAATGTAGACTGTAGCCTGGTTCTTAATCGGAGTGTACTGGCAATCTATAATGTAGACTGTAGCCTGGTTCTTAATCGGAGTTTACTGGCAGTCTATAATGTAGACTGTAGCCTGGTTCTTAATCGGAGTGAGTGTACTGGCAGTCTATAATGCAGACTGTAGCCTGGTTTAAAGCTGGCCAATACGCTCACCAGCAGAAAATTCTACCGGATGATGATTTGCGACATCACTCGGATCCACGTCGCCTTACGCCGCAGCGTGCAGAGAGTGTCGGGCGTCGGGCACAGATCACCAAAACTACATCGATAATTCGTTTTAGTTTTTCATTTTATTGGCATTTCGAGTGTAGTCGTTGACATCATTATTTATCGGCTGTCCACGTTGAGCTTCTTTCGCACGGTGCGCAGCCGACTGCGCACCAATCGGATTTCATCTCTACTTGCGAGTTTCATTTCTACGCACGGCGCTTTGAGATGCTTCAATATGAAAGGCGCTTCGTGAAACGGAGGCGGTTATTATTTGCGCATCGCGTAGGCGAACGCGGGCTCGATAGGAACGGGGCCGTCAGTGGGCGGGCGAGGCCATGGACGGCTCCCCGTCGGGCCCTATCACGACGGAAAAAAATCCGTCGCCCCGCACCGCCTCCCGGCCGTGCTTTCTCGAGTGCCTCGCGAGCGTGTCCCTCCGCGCGTAACGTCGGCCGCACTCGGCGCACGCGTGCGGCTTCTCGTCGCCGCCGGCGTGCGTCCTCGCGTGCTGCTCGCGGTAGGAGCGCCGCGCGAAGCGCCGGCCGCACTCGGCGCACGCGTGCGGCCTCGCGACTCCGCCGTCGGCGGCGTGCGCCCGCCCGTGCCTCGTCAGGTCGGAGCGCCGCGCGTAGCGACGGCCGCACTCGGCGCACGCGTACGGCTTCGCCCCGGCGTGCGTCCCGAAGTGCCGCTCGAGCGCCGAGCGACGCCGGAAGCGCTCGCCGCAGAGGCCGCAGGCGTGCGCCTCCGCGCCGGCGTGCGTCCGCGCGTGCCGCTCCAGGTTGGAGCGCCGCTCGAAGCGCCGGCCGCACTCGGCGCACGCGTGCGGCTTCTCGACGGCGCCGGGGCCGCCGGCGGCGTGCGTCCTCGCGTGCCGCTCCAGGTTGGAGCGCTGCGAAAAGCGGCGGCCGCAGTCCTCGCACGCGTACGGCCGCTCGCCCGTGTGGGTCCGCGCGTGCTTCTCCAGGCTCGAGCGCTGCGAGAAGCCCCGGCCGCAGTCCTCGCACGTGTACGGCCGCTCCCCCGTGTGGGTCCGCGCGTGCTTCTCCAGGCAGGACCGCTCCAGGAACGCCTTCCCGCACTCACCGCAGGCGTGAGGGCGCTCGTCCGCGTGGGTCCTCGCGTGCCTCCTCAGGTAGCAGCGCAGGGAGAACGCCTTCCCGCACTCCCCGCAGACGTGCGGCCGCTCGTCCCCCGGGGTCCTCGCGTGCTGCCGCAGCTCCGGGCGGTGGGCGAAGCGCTCGGGGCAGCGCTCGCGGGCGTGCGGCCTCTCGCCCGTGCGCGCCGTGACGCGCGCCCTCGGGTGGCAGCGCTGCGCGAACCGCTCGCCGCACTCGTGGCTCCGCCGTCCGCCGCCGTCGTCGTCGCCGTCGTTGGCGGCCCCCGGCCGGCTCGCCCCCGACGCCTCGGCACGCGCGGGGAAGTTCCCGAGCGACGGACGCGTCCGCGGGGTCTCCGCGCGTTCCCTCTCTCCGCGTGCGACGCGTTCAGGGGCGGGACTCTCAACTTCGCCAGCGTCCTCCTCCGACAGCTCCACCTCGATGAAGCCGCCGTCCGCAGGGGCCAGACGGCCTTCCCGGGAATGCCGCGACTCCTCCGGCCGCTCGCTCTTCACGACGTTCGAATCTGGAGCGGCGTCAAATTGAACGGTCAGCACGTTTACCGTGGAACTGGACTCCCATGATAAACGGGACTCCTCTAGTATACTAGACTCCCATGGTAAACCAGACATTTCATGGTAAACTGGACTCCCGTGGTAAACTGGACCCCCATGGTAAACTGGACTTCCATGGTAAGCTTTACTCCCACGGTCAACTGGACTTCCATGGTAAACTGGACTCCCATGGTGAACTGGACTTTCAAGGTGAATTGGACTTCCATGGTGAATTGAACTTCCACGCCGTTTATTTCCAATTTCAAGAGCCGCACTACAGCCCTCAAAGAGCGAACACCTGGACCAAGCATTACCAACCTAGAATTCAAACCAATGATAACGTATTTAAGAATTACAGCTTGAGAGACACCATTGTGTATACACACCATTGTGTAAACAACAACAACCGCCATTCGCCACTAAGTGGCGGTGATGTCACCACGGCGCTTGTGCCAGGCTATGTGCACCTTGAGGCCATCACGTGAAGTGTCGAACGCCCACTGGCAGGAGGTCACGGGGCAGACCCAGGTGCCACGGGTCGACTGAGACGACTGGCTGATGCACCACCTGTGCCCCCTACTGTGCCAACTTGCTGTGCTTTAGCCACCCGGCGCTCCGCTCGTTGTTGTGAGCGTCGCTCCTCCGCCCTCCGTTGTTGTTGGAGGGCGACTACCTCCAACTGCCCAGTAGCGTCCTTCACGAGCCTCCTCCACAGAGGCCGATCTTGACACCGCTGGTACCGGTCATCGGCAAGTCCACTCAGCTCCACATCCTCCTGTACCACGTCACTCCATCTCTTCTCTCAGCCTATATATTGGCACACACTATTAAAAATAATTAAAACGTTTATTTTTAAACTAAATGAATCCGCCGTTCCAGTACCCAACCAGGATGCTATATATATATAAAAAAAAAAAAATGAAAACGCCGAGAGCCAACCGACCAATCCCATTTTCCCTTCCGATACTCTGTGCCTCGAATCGTCATTGTTTTTTGTCGTCTTTTGGCCTCGCTGCAAAAGCGACGGGCGCCACCGGAGCGGCCGCCCCCGTTCGCTTGCGATGGCTCTGGCAAGGATTTCACCCTCGGGGGGTGGCCTACCAAGCCATCCAATGGCGCTGCAAAACCCACAGCTGACCTCGTGCGGCACAAAAAATAAATTGTCTCTGTTGTGCACGCAGGCCTTATTATTGGGATTTTGGAAATGGCCTCGTTGTAACATTCTTACCCCGTACCCCGACTGGAAGATCCGTGAACAGAAAGCCTCACAGCTCATCGGATTCCTCCAGGATGAATAACGATTTTCAATTCCGACGAAGGCGCCGCCGTGTCCCCCGCCGGACGGAATGGCCACTCTGGAGGAAATTCGATCCTGTTTGTTTCTCTTTCTGCGCGAGTATAAACTCTATCTCTCTACGTATATATAATATGAGGTGTTTCACGCTTTCTGGCCGTAATAAAAAAACAGTTGTCGTGTTAAGATGTTCAGATGCCAAACTGAAACCTTTTGCAAGGAATTGTGTCGCTGCATTAACCACACATACTCTTGGCGGACATGCAAACACAAACTATGCTCTGGTAAATTTTGATTTAAAGCTTTCGTGACTGCAGGGATTCATATTCTTGGTTCTTTCGGTAAAGTCACATAGAAGGGAAACAATACAATAATAAAAATATAAAACAAATACAATTCTCACGACGTTTCGACTGCAACACAAGCAATCATCGTCAGGTGTGAAAACCACAGAGATTTTCCGAACATAGATGGACTCTGATTTAAAGCTTTCATGACTGCAGGGATTCATATTCTTGGTTCTTTCGGTAAAGTCACGTAGAAGGGAAACAATAAAATAATAAAAAAATAAAACAATACAATTCTCACGACGTTTCGACTGCAAAAAAGTGGCGGTTATTTTTATTATTATTTTATTGTTTCCCTTCTACGTGACTTTACCGAAAGAACGAAGAATATAGATGGACTCTTCCATCTATGTTCAGAAAGAGAGGAGGGGGTAGCCATCTGGCTACCATGAGAGATTCGTTCATGAGGCTATCCACATATACAAACACAGAGGCAATTTCAACCGAGAAGATGGATTCTGGCTTAGCAATCATTGGAAGGATTTGATCAACCATTTCATGTCTTAATTGATCGTTCACGCTTAAGGTTACCATGATAGATTCGTTCGTGAGGCTATCCACATATACAAACACAGAGACAATTTCAACCGAGAAGATGGATTCTGGGCTTAGCAATCATTGGAAGGATTTGATAAACCATTTCATGTCTTAATTGATCGTTCACGCTTACGGTTACCATGAGAGATTCGTTCGTGAGGCTATCCACATATACAAACACAGAGACAATTTCAACCGAGAAGATGGATTCTGGGCTTAGCAATCATTGGAAGGATTTGATAAACCATTTCATGTCTTAATTGATCATTCACGCTTGCGGTTACCATGAGAGATTCGTTCGTGAGGCTATCCACGTATACAAACACAGAGACAATTTCAACCGAGAAGATGTATTCTGGCTTAGCAATCATTGGAAGGATTTGATAAACCATTTCGGGTCTTAATTGATTGTTCACGCTTACGGTGGCTTTCAGACTGTATCCATTATTTTCGTCTCCCCCCTCCTCTTTTCCGAACATAGATGGACTCGTCCATTTGAGTAACTGCCAAATCGCTCTCCATGGTGCTAACGTAAAAAAAAAACGCCACTTCTTTCAAATTTTCTTGCTGTGGTTATCACACCTGATGATGATTGCTTGTGTTGCAGCCAAAACGACGTGATAATTTTATTGTTTTATATTTTTATTATTTTATTGCTTCCCTTCTACATGGTGACTTTACCGAAAGAACCAAGAATATGCTCTGGCAGTAGATGATGATGATGCGTTGTCTTTGCAACTGATTGGTCCACAGCAGGGACAGCTTTCTTTAGAGCCTCGTCTCAAACGGCATGAGACCAGAGGAGGACCCCAAAAAGCGAACAGCACAAGACAACGCCACTATCAGGACACTGAGAGATTGGGGTTCAGCAGCAACATCATGGGACCACCTTTGCCAGTGTCACAAGAAAGAAGAGGTTTGACCCTTACTGGCAATAAAACAGTTGTTGTGTTAAGATGTTTGAACACCAATCGGAAACATTTTGCAAGGATTAATGCACTGCATTAACCGCACGCGTACTCATGGTGAACATGCAAACAACAAACGCGCAAAAGGTTTCTGATTGGTGTTTTAACATCTTAACAGAAATGATATAACCTTTATTTAATTTATTTTATTTATTTTCTTTCTACGTGACTTTAACGAAGAGAACCCAGGAGTTATTTTTTTATTTTTTGATACTGGCGAGGGAGGTCCCATTAAACTCGTTCTGTCTGTTTAGAATAAACGTCGCGTGCGTTTAAGAGTATTTAGCGACTGCGGTAAATTTCCACGTGGTGATGGTGATGAAGATAGCAAGCCCACTTCTACGAGTTGCTATTATTTGCGTGGCCAGGTCGCGTCTGCAAAAGGGCTACACAGGGAACGCTCTACTTAAGAACGAGTCGGGTTCCAGAGGTTCTGTGTCCACAAGTCGACTTGTTCGTAGGCCCAACTTTACTCCTGACTATTCTCAGCGTGTTTTACGGCGCGCACACTAAACACGGGGGAATGGCTTTAAAAGTTGTAGAATCTCCTGTAGATGTAGATGCCACTGGTTCTTCATCTTCTGCAGATGTAGATGCCACTGGTTCGTCACCTTCTGCAGATGTAGATGCCACTGGTTCTTCACGTCTTCCAGATGTAGATACCACTGGTTCTTCATGTTCTGCAGATGTAGATGCCACTGGTTCTTCACGTTCTACAGATGTAGATGCCACTGGTTCTTCATGTTCTCCAGACGTAGATACCACTGGTTCTTCATGTTCTGCAGATGTAGATGCCACTGGTTCTTCATGTTCTGCAGATGTAGATGCCACTGGTTCTTCATGTTCTGCAGATGTAGATGCCATTGATTCTTCATGTTCTGCAGATGTAGATGCCACTGGTTCTTCATGTTCTGCCGATGTAGATGCCACTGGTTCTTCATATTCTGCAGATGTAGATGCCACTGGTTCTTCACGTTCTGCAGATGGAGATGCCACTGGTTTTTAACGTTCTGCAGATGTAGATGCCACTGGTTCTTCATGTTCTGCAGATGTAGATGCCACTGGTTTTTAACGTTCTGCAGATGTAGATGCCACTGGTTCTTCACTTCTGCAGATGTAGATGCCACTGGTTCTTCATGTTCTGCCGATGTAGATGCCACTGGTTCGTCACCTTCTGCAGATGTAGATGCCACTGGTTCTTCACGTCCTCCAGATGTAGATACCACTGGTTCTTCATGTTCTGCAGATGTAGATGCCACTGGTTCTTCACGTTCTACAGATGTAGATGCCACTGGTTCTTCACGTTCTCCAGATGTAGATACCACTGGTTCTTCATGTTCTGCAGATGTAGATGCCACTGGTTCTTCATGTTCTGCAGATGTAGATGCCACTGGTTCTTCATGTTCTGCAGATGTAGATGCCATTGGTTCTTCATGTTCTGCAGATGTAGATGCCACTGGTTCTTCATGTTCTGCCGATGTAGATGCCACTGGTTCTTCATATTCTGCAGATGTAGATGCCACTGGTTCTTCACGTTCTGCAGATGGAGATGCCACTGGTTTTTAACGTTCTGCAGATGTAGATGCCACTGGTTCTTCATGTTCTGCAGATGTAGATGCCACTGGTTTTTAACGTTCTGCAGATGTAGATGCCACTGGTTCTTCACTTCTGCAGATGTAGATGCCACTGGTTCTTCATGTTCTGCCGATGTAGATGCCACTGGTTCTTTATGTTCTGCAGATGTAGATGCCACTGGTTCTTCACGTTCTGCAGATGGAGATGCCACTGGTTTTTAACGTTCTGCAGATGTAGATGCCACTGGTTCT